TGAGCGGAATTTGCCGCGAGATGTGCCGCGAGAGTCTCTTCTACAGCCGGCATCGCCGCGTAGCCGTGAGTCGCCATTTTAGAAACCGTGGCGAAATCAGCGGTGGCGGGATTAGTGATACGCGCCGAAAAAGGTTGTTTCCAAGACCTCGAAACCTCGTAGTGGAGTTCTTGGAAAAAGGGGAGAGGCCTACGGGGCTGAGACGGAATGAGGCTGGACAAAAATCGATCGTCCAGTTTCGACTGGGACTGAGTTTGTGCCGGCTCGCTATCCCACTCTAACCCCAGCTTATCCACAGCGCGAGTTACAACGTCTAATAGTTAGCTGTAAGACGGGGAAGTGCGTTTCTCCTGTCCACTTAACTGGGGTAAAATCTGTTTGAGAGCCAGGAAGACTGCTAGCATCTCCAAACGATTTATGTGCCAGCCACGATGTACCTCTGTCCAGACTCCACCGACTGGACGTCCTTGATGGACCGCTCCCCAGACCGTAAGGGACGCGTCCGTCGTGACCGTCTTGCGGCGACACAAAGTCCCCATCTGGACCCCCCCCAGAAGGAACTGGGGTCTCATCCACGGGCTTAGAGTACGAAAGCCCCTGCGTGTCACCGTAATTCTGCGAAGCGGATGACAGTGATGTGAAATGTTCTGGCTCTTGGTCCACCACTGAAACGGTCGCATGTGGAGCAGGCCCAACTGAACTACAGGGGACGCCGCCGCCATCAGACCCAACAGCCTGAGACACAAGCCTACGTGTACTCGGCGTCCTGTCTTGAACTGGCCTAGACAGGTCCGTATTGACTGCACACGTGCGGGAGACAGCCGTGCCCGCATCGTGCAAGAGTCCAAGTCCACCCCCAAAAAGGTCGTTTGCTGACAAGGCAGCAGGACACTCTTTTGAAGGTTTGTCCGTAACCCTAGGCTCCTCAGATGATTGAGTACCAAATCTCGATGTATCCTTGCCTGATCCTGGGATTGGGCTAATATTAGCCAATCGTCCAGGTAGTTCCAAGATTCGGACGCCCTGGAGCCGCAACGGTGCCAGAGCTGCGTCCATACATTTGGTAAATGTTCGAGGAGCCAAAGCTAGTCCGAACGGAAGAACACAATATTGGTATGCTTTGCCCTCAAAAGCAGGACGTACCGTCGTAGGAAGAACCCCGCTGAAAGGAGGAGGCCCTTTCCGAAACTGGATAGTGTAACCGTGTCGAACGGTGCGTAGTACCCACCTTGAAATATCGAAATATCGATCGTCCAGTTTCGACTGGGTCTGATTTTGCGCCGGCTCGCTATCCCACTCTAACCCCAGCTTATCCACAGCGCGCGTTACAACGTCTAATAGTTCGCTGTAAGACGGGGAAGTGCGTTTCTCCTGTCCACTCGGAGGGAGAGAACTGCACAGTTCGCCCAATAAATCCTCCGAATCGGAGGCTGCTGTGGACAGCACGTCTTCATCATACGGCATACAACCGAAAGACATCGCATCGCGAGCTTCCGGGGTAGGCCGCAAATTGTCATTAACGAAGACCACAGGATCTCCGTAGCGCTCTTCGAGCGCTTGCACATGGCCCGGAGAGAGTGATATCGACGATACTGCCTTGAAAAATATCGGTATCGTATCGAAAAAAAAATAAGGGGTATCTCCCATCCCTAAAATGCAGCGCCTCATTTGATAAACTCCTCCTCAGTTTCACATCTGCCTTCCGCCATGTCACTCCGCACGGTCGCACACAAATGTGTCAACAACTAGATTATCGCTGGAAGACTAATTTTTATCGAGGGGAGAATTTAGATGAGAAGGCAACAGAGAATAATAAAAGACCAAAGATATAAAAAGAGAAGAAAATGTTAGGAGAAGCCCACCCCTCTCTTTTTTGGTTCTAGTGTCAATGAGTCCAGCTTTGGAGCTTCCAAGAGCCACCAGCCACTTCTGCCTCTCCGCTGCATTCACTGCCTTCACGTAAAAATGCTGCTCCCCTGGTATGATCAGCTCCAGCCGCGTGCTGTCAGTTGGGTGAACTGGAGCAAACATGAGGAAGTCAAAAATTACATAAGAATAACCAGTATCATTTCTCGTCAGGATAGAAGGAAGATTTTACCGATAAGATATACGATCATCTCACCTTTAATTTCACATACTGACATCTTAATACTGCCTTTGCTACCTTTGCACACATCATCTTGCGAATCATAGTATGAAATAATGCCATTGTCCAGCACAAACCACCTTGGCTGCCATCCTATCATAAAATAAAGTATTATCAGATGACAAAACACATCCAAAAAGCGATTATAAATTTGAGGTTTACGACTAGATTTGTTACAACTCTGCATACAATCAGGTATCATAACATCACATGATGACAAGTTGGGAAGTTTGACAGGATATAGCCTATTACTCTTATTTCTTAACATGGAATTTTGACATTGCAAAACATTGAAAGCTCACAGCATTTAAAAAAGAAGCAATGCAAAAAGCATTACAACACAAAACAACAAAAGTTGCATGCATCAGCAGCTCTATTTTTTATACAAACATAACGATACAGGCTTAATACATCTTGTGCATACTTGCAGTGCTGTCCTACTGCAGTTTAAGTGTCTACATGTCAGTGCCATTCACTCTTACCTGTCATATAGTTTGTCCATTTGTAAAGCACTCCTTCCATTATTCTCAAAGCAGAAAACCCGGTGAAAATCCCTTTATAGCAGCTTGCACCAGGCAGCTGCTTGTTTGCCCCTTTTACAGGCTAATTAGCATGCTAGCATGCTCTAGGCTAACTCAAAGATCCACAGCTACTCATCATTATGTCAAAGAAAGGGCGGATCATAAGGACACGGGGGAAAAAACCTTTGCTTTCACGGTCATTTCTGTGGAGACGCCACGCCGCACATGCTGGGAGATTCTACCAAAGGGAAAGACGGCTCAAGATTTGGGATGAGCTCACTGTTTACTAGTGATGTGTCGTTCGCGAACGAGCCGGCTCTAAGAGTCGATTCTTTGTAACGAACGAGAAGAGCCGACTCCCGTCGGGGAGAGCCGAATCTTCAGCCGGAGCCTCCTATTTTAACCCAGTTTAGCAATTGTGAATGGTTTGTGTGTTGGTAAGCAATTTTTTTATTCGGTGTTTTCATTATGCATTTTTTCGTTACAAAAAAAAAAAAAAAAAGAATACACAGGCCAGGTACACAGAAGGACAGAGAGAGATGGGGGAGCCCGATTTAAACGCAAGCGCATTGGTTAAGGTAGGAAGATGTTCGTCTTCTCAAAAACAGGACAAATAATCAAGAGAGGAGAAATCGCATCAGCACATCCAAGCTGAGGCATCTGATATTTCTGAATGCCAACCTGCACTAAAGACTAAAGTGTCTTAATGTTAAGACTTTTGCCTTTATTTATTTGATTTGTTTGCTGTGATTTTTTTGTAACGAAAAAAAAGCATAAAAATTAGGCTTTTATGAAAACACTGAATAAAAAATTGCTTACCAACACACAAACCATTCACTAAATTGGGCTCAAATAGAAGGCTCCGAGTGATACTAAATGAAGAGCCATTTGGGAGCCGTAAGAGCCGGCTCTTCTAGGGGAGCCGAGCCAAAAGAGCCGAATCTTTGAAAAGAGCCGGACTTCCCATCACTACTGTTTACAGACTGAACCGGAAGAGGCGTTTTATTTAGAGATTCTTCTCTGTCTAGCCACTCCACTGTAATATGGAAAAGACAGCGAAGGCCATTCGAAGGCACTACATAGTACATACTAATTACAGAAAATCACCAGTGACAGTGAAATGTCTTGAGGACAAAAAACAAAAAAACGTGCACATCCCAAAACCCCGAAGGCTCAGGTGCAGGCAGCAGCCCTATGATACCTATGGCTATGATTTTATTAATACAGTTGTCTAATTGATTTTATAGTCACAGAAATGTTATAGAAAGTTTATAGAAATCACACAAAATAAAATTAAGCAGTTTTACTACGATAAAACCATGGTTAATTTTGGTAAGGGTTGTGATGTCCACGTGCTTTTGTTGAAGAAATGAAAGAGGCTGTAGCATTTCTATCACAAAAAAGGTGGCCAAAAATAAAAAATTAAGTGGATATTTGAATTAAATGTTTGGTCAATATTAAACAAGAAAATTGTTAATTGTTTATTTTGTATTACATTATGTATTTTAACAGTGTTATTCAATGAAACCATATTTAAACCATATACAATATATTGCCTCGTAGTTTTTATTTTAAGTCATGGAAACTAGAATATTAAGTCAGATGGTATCGTCTAAAGTTTGGCAGATTCAAGTAACCAGTTGGAGAAGCTCATGAGCAGCACGTGACACTTCAAGGCGGAAGAACATGTAAAGCGGAAGGTTTCTGTCATATTACAAACTTCTTGGTCACACTTCCTAGAGCCCTGCCTACGCAAATAAGCTGATTAGTCGGGGGAGATGGCTGGAGAGACAGATGATGAGATCCCTGGTAAATATTATGTGGTGCATTAGTGATCAGTGTAAACTGTTTTGTGCTTTTTAGTTGCGACACGTGCGTTTCTTTAACTCTAATGGCTGTTTATGATTAGCCTACAAGCTATATAACGGTGCTACATAGTGAAGGCGAATCATATGTAATACTGATGTAACGTTAAACATGTCTTAACTGCTTTCATGCCCTGCGAATACTATATTTATCAGGGTTTATAAGTGTAAATTGCTGCTTGTGTTTTGTTTTTTATTCATTGAGCACTGTCTCGCGCTTCCATTGACGCCTGTGGCTACCTGTCGCCAAGGCAACCACGCCATGCGGTCACGCCCCCCCCCCTTCTCTCTCTGTGTTCTATATCTATACAGTAAACAATTAATTTTAATCGTAATGTGTATATTTACAAAGAACCAGAAACTTCAACAAAAATCATACAAATTATTATTTGTTTACAACAGTGTAATACTGTATGCTTTATAAAAAAAGACAGCTTGTTTTTGAGAACAGCAGTCGCCTGAATAATTGCACAAAGATAAAACACAAAAATGGCGAGATTAAATCTGTCTGTCTGCATTTTTATATTGTTCCATTTTTGTTTTAGAATCCGGAGCGGTCTTCACTTTTGGAAAGAGTAAATTCGCAGATAATGCCCCCAGTAAATTCTGGTTAAAAAATGATGTACCTTTGAGAATTTCCTGTGGCGATGAGCACACAGCACTGGTGACAGGTATGATTTATGATTTTAGTGGTGGATATTGGTAAATACAGTCTTATTTCATCATTTTGAGCATTCATCCTGTCGCTATTCCTATTGTGTTCAGAAAATGGGAAGCTGTTTATGTTTGGCAGCAATAACTGGGGACAGCTGGGCCTCGGAACAAAGACCACTGTGAATAAACCCACTTGTGTGAAAGGTACGACTCTATGCCTGACAGACTGTCAGTCAAAGAGAGAGCAGTACAGAGTGTTTTCTGTCATCCACAGCTGATAAATCACTTACACAAACACATTTCCAATGCTGTCACTCACATTTAGCTGTTTGGGTATGATATATGTCAAATAATAATGATGAGTGATTTTGAATCATTCAGCAATAATTTATTGGTTGACATACAAAATTACATGTTGGTAAATAGCTGTAAGAAAAGGTTGTCTTTTCAGGACAAAGCTGTAGGTTGTCTTAATCCCAATCTGGAGTGGCCCATAATCTGCATTAATCTTAAATACAGAGAAGAGTACAATTTTTCATAATTTTAACAAATTAGTTTGATGAAATATTTGTTTTGTCAGGTTGTATAAATGTTTAGCTAGACTAAACTGTATTCAACATGTTTCTGACATGCTGTGACAATATTTGTTTTCTTAAAGCCCTAAAATCAGAGAGGGTGAAGCTTGCAGCCTGTGGAAGAACTCACACACTTGTTTATACATGTAAGTTTATTCAAACATGACAGAATAGTTGCTTTATGCTTTTGAGTCTAGTACATCAGTCCCTTTTTAAACGGTGTAATGTGTGTTCTACAGTAATTTGTTACTTCTACCTTCTCTGTTGTCTTAATTATTTACATATTCTTATTTATTTACTTATTCCATTAGTTGAGCCATAAGTTGACACACCAAACCAAGGCAAACCACTGAAATAAACAGAGCAGTGTTTTGAAAGGGCCACAGGGCAACACAGGGGAACTCTCTGGGAATTTGCAAGAGGGTTTTAAGAATTTTTTTTAACATTGAAAAAATTACACACATTACCTTTTAAAAAGAAATGAAAAAAAAAAAGTACTTTTAGAATTATTTTTAAAATATTTGAGCATGCTGTTTGTTGGTTTATTTGATTATATCTCAATATTTTCACAGGCCAAAAAAGTAGTTTTAAATGTACACTACCATTTAAAAGTTGTATTTTTTTACTTGAAAATTTATATTGTGATATATTATTCTATTTTATTCTATTTATTCCATAGTTTTCTATTGTAATATATTTTAAAATGTAATTTATTCCTGCGATGGCATGTTGAATTTTCAGTAGCTCAGTTACTTCATTGTCACATGATCCTTCAGAAATCATTCTAATATGTTGATTTAGTGCTAAAGAAACATTTATTATTAGTATTATCAGTGTTGAACACATTTATGCTGCTTATTTTTTTTTGTGGAAACCATGATACATTTTTTACAGAATTATTTGATGAATAGAAAGTTCAAAACAATGGCATTTATTTGCAATAGTAATCTTTTGTAACATTATGAATGTTTTACAGTCACTTTCAATTTTTAATGCATCCTTGCTGAATAAAATTATTAATTTCTTTAAAAAAAAATTACGACATCAAATTGGTCTTTTTTTTTTTAGACTGCTATATTAGTTAACTACTTGCAACATTATCCTCAACTAAAATAGACATTTTCTTCACCGAGCAGCCCGTGGTAACCTGTATGCCTCTGGAGGGAATAATGAAGGACAGCTCGGCCTCGGTGACTGTGATGACAGAACTTCCTTCCACCTGGTGGACTTCTTCAGCAAACATGAACCAGTCAAAATGCTCGCTGCTGGTTCCAATACCTCTGCTGCCCTGACGCGTAAGAGTTCTGTTCCATCTGACTTACAGCAACAGTGTCTATTTCCAAAACATATGGTGCTAATATTACATACATAACATGCAACAGCAAATATTAACAGTAATGTAACAATATCTCTGTCATCTCAGAGGATGGCAGGCTCTATATGTGGGGCGATAACTCAGAGGGACAGATTGGATTGGGGAAAGAGAGTAATGCACTGAATCCTCGGGAGGTTTCTGTGGGGAAACGAGTGTCCTGGGTGTCCTGTGGATATTATCATTCTGCCTTTGTTACTGGTATGTATGCCATTGCTAAATAAATGCACTAACTTTATGCTCAACATTCACATGTTGTATTTAACCTTGAATAGTTTATTTAAAGGTCCCATGACATGCTGCTCTTTGGATGCTTTTATATAGGCCTAAGTGGTCCCTAGTACTGTATCTGAAGTCTCTTTCCCGAAATTCAGCCTTGGTGCAGAAATTCAGCCACTACGAGCCAGTCCCACAATGAGCTTTCCTTAGGCCGCGCCATTTCTGTGTCTGTAGCTTTAAATGCTAATGAGGAGGAGAGAGGCGGGGCAACTGCCATGCTTCGCTCGTTTGCAAGCCATGATGTCTCTCGAGGAAAAAAAAATATTGCGCTCGCCTCGCATGGTAGTAGCTCATTTTCTCATGGGCGGGCCAAATTCTCTGGGCGGGCAAAGCAGAGAAAGGGGAGGTAACCTTTCCCCGTATGATGACATAAAGGGAAGATTCCAGATTGGGCCATCTGAGCTTTCATTTTCTCAAAGGAGAAGCAGGATACCCAGGGCTCGGTTTACACCTATCGCCATTTCTAGCCACTGGAGGACCATAGGCAGGCTAGGGGAACTCATATTAATGTTAAAAAACCTCATAAAGTGAAATTTTCATGCCATGGGACCTTTAA